CTCTAGCTAGGGGGCATTTAGTAGAGAAGAAAAAAAATTATTCGAGAATCACTATTCCAGAGAATATAACGGGAAAGTGAAATTTTCGAAAATATTACTAAAGGGTTGTTTAGTAGACTAAAAAATTACGGGAAACATTGACTTAAAATTATGTTTAGTTGATTGTGAAATATCACAAAAAATGCAAGATCATTTTATAAAAGTAACCCCGTGTCAAATATTGTCTTTTCTTCAAACTTTTTCCTGCTTACGAATCTGTAAGTTCTTGATGCTCTTTTATCTGAATATGAAAAATCAATTCTAGGTCTTGTGACAAAAACTTGTTGTCTTCTTGCAACATAGGTTATTGAATAACTAAGAACATTGATTTTTCCATTCAATCATTTTTCACCGATGTATACTTATTTATAAACAAGTTAGTTAGAGTATTAAGCAGCTGCATAATGTTTATTATTTTTGCGATCGATGCAGTCATCGCATCACGAGATATTTAAAATATTGGCTTCTGCGATTTCAAGTGAAAACCAAATTGTGTGTGACTTGCTGGAACCAAAAAGAGAAAAATATTGTGGGTTCAACAACATTGTATCGCGTCAGTTCAACAACAACACCATGAGTTTTATATGCTCTTTCACCGACGTGACTTACTGGAACCAGAAAGAGAAAAAGAGTGAAGAAGAAGAGAACAAAGAAAGCATAACCAAGAAAAAGAACAAAGAAGACAAGGGTTAATTTTGTCCATAAAAATTACAAGATATTCCTATCGTACGAGATTCACAAAATACCACCCTCCTGATGGTATTCTCATGTGGTATTCCTCTTCACAAAATCAATTCCCGAGATTCCGAGTTTCTAGGAAGAAATTTCAAAATCCTTCTATCAAATGTGTGAAAATATTATTCTCTATCTCACTTTCTCAGGAATCCAAAATAAATCCAGCTACCCCATATTCTAATGATAGGACAAATTGGTATTCTTTTTGAAGTTCACTAATCATTCTTTCTTTTAAATACAATCATTGTCAGCATCATTTGGCCTGACAAAATACTTATTAAAAGAAAAGTGAAGATATTCTAACTACCAAAAATCCTTACTACTAACTTACTACCCATGACATCACCATTGGATCAAAGAGAAAGAATGTTAAAAAAAATTTGAAAAGAGAGAAAATATTAATCTAATGGTGATTAGATAGGTAGTAAGTTGGTAGTAGAAAATTTTGGTAGTGAGAATATCCCTCCTCTTAAAAGAAACGGTTAAAAAGGTAATTTTTTAATAAAAAAAATAAACTTATTTCCACAAGCTTACGGTAGAAGCATCTCACCTCTCCTTATAGCTTCTTTCTGTCTATGCGACTCTAAATCGCTATCTCCCGCTTTGTCTTCTGAAATTGTAAATCTTTTACTAAACCCAACTAGCTTAATCAAACAAGATACCTATCATCACTCTCTACAAAAATTAAAGAACAAACAAAACAGAGAATTTGAAAATTGAAATAACAACTAACTCAGACTCACACGAAGCATATCAACCAATATAAAACAGAATAGCAACTCACGAAACAGAATTGTAAAACAAGAGAAAATACAAACTAAAGGACTGAAACTAATAAAAAATAAAATAAAAGATTGACAAGAAAAAAATAAGAGACAAATCAACAACTACGAAACTATAAAGTAATAAATTATATGACAAAACAACTATATAATTTTTTTTTAGAGAAAATCAGAATCTTAACAAAACTAAAATTCAAGCTACCACTACTCAAGAAAATTCAACAATATAACTAACACAATGAAGAAACAGAATTAAAATAAGCTAATAATGTCAAAATAAAAAAAACAGCAAAAATGATTAACTCAGAAACAGCAATCACACAAAACAATCTGACAATGTACGTCTTCAATCCCCGACAACGGCGCCAAAAACTTGTTGGCCTCGCTAACGTTTATGCAAGAATTGCGCAATTATACGCAGCCACAAGTAATATAGGGTCTATAAGTCCCAGTTATCGTTCTCACAAGGATTTTTTTGGCGAAAATTTCAAAAACATAAAGTGCAATTGCTTAAATTGAATTTCTGAAAAGAAACATAAAAGCAAAATTAATCTAAAATAGCACTGACCATGTTACTCTCTTTTTTAGAATTTTCTGAATTAATTTCTTGAGCTAAAGGATAAAAAATAGTAGGAAAGCAATTTAAGTATCTGATGTAAAATGATTTTTATATAAGAAAAAAATGTAAAACAGAATGCTGATAAAAATTTAAAAATCAGAGGAAAAGAAAATTGAGTTGGTGAAAATGTTTAGATAAATAGGTTGAGCTTTGGTTTACCTTTCCCACAGCATTGGATTGATTGCTAATTACGGATTGCTTGATTTTTAATTCACAGTTAATGAATCACTCTTGTTGATTTTAATCTCTTAAAATTATTTTATCCCAAACTTTCATTTACACATCTCTGTGTTAAATGAAGTAAGGACTCATGCATTTCAAGTCGAAAGTTACATGGTGGCTGTCCTCATCTCTAAGTGAGGGCCCTTGAATATTCTCTTATTCAAGTCCACGTGCTTAATGCATTTTCCAGAATTAGTCATATCTCCATGACTTCTTCCTAACACAACATCTAACATCAGGCCTCAATGAAAGAATGTTTAAATACAAAGCATGACATTAAACTACTGAGAATTAAAATTTAACAATAGTAATTAGCAATCAACCATCACTGAGGTTCGGGTAACCTAGACCCAACCTTCAAAGGTTTAGCTCATACCCATAAGGGTTGAGCTACAAAAACAGCAAACAAAAATTGAAAGGAAATTACAATTAACCAAATGAAAAATACGAGGCAGAAGCTATATCCAGAAAATAGCTCGGCTACAGTGCGCAGAAAAAATAACAAAAAGAAAAATGTAAAAAAATCTCAAGATTAGAACAGACACAACGAGAAATAAAAAAAATGGAGAGAAAAAAAGTGCCTACAACGACTTGCTCTTCTCTTTTATAGCTAATACTCCCACGTGCAGAAACGATTCCACATCAGCCATCACATGCTACGCGCTCCTCCCAATCGTGCGTTTCCTTGACAAAGGCAGTAACTGCACTCCAAAAATTGCTTCAGCCAACAATGCTAACAAACTCTAGCTCACCCAATCAGTTATGGGTTGTGTTTGGCATTTTCTGTTTGAATCAAAATGGTTAGGGTCGGTGTTTTGGTTGAACGCTCACTTAAGGGACCATGGGTGAAGGCTAAGGCTCGATGGGTAAACCAAGATTAAAGACCTGGTGTGGCTTGATGGTTTGGTTGTAAAGAAAAATCAGAATGGAAAGCTTAGGTTATGGTTGAATTGAAATGGATGGTTCGAATGGTGAGAAGATTAGGGTTCGATGGTTTAGAACTCTTTTCCCAAATGTATCCAACGCTGCCTTGTTTTACTTTCTTCCAATTTCTTTTCTTTTTGTTGCTCAATTGGGCTCTTCTGCCTTGCCTTACAAAATCGAGCCCACTTCTTTTCTTCTTATTTTTTCTTTTATTTTCTTTCTTCTTTGCTTTGGAAAGTATTAATATGTGTGCCTGAAAAATAAAATTGAAGCCCATTAGCATTTAATTCAACAACATTTCAGCTCAATGTAATTAGGATATCTATTAACACAAAGAATATTCTTTTTTTTTATAATTTCATATTAGAAACCATATGTTTTAAGTCATATTTCATGGACTTATCAAGACTCACATTTGAAGGAGAAGAATGTTAGGAATAAGAATCTAAGTGTGAGTAATGAAATCTCACATTAGTTGGAAATGTCCTAAATAATGAAGTGAAATAACTCATAAACTTAATGCCTTAAAATTTTGAATTAACATATGATATCCAAACCCATTTATGATAGAAAATCTGTAGCTTAGTCCATGCTAGATCTCTCTCTACCATAGGCTCCCCTGTGAAGGACAACCCTGATCCAACTGTGATTGAAGGAATTATACATTAAATCGATTTGATCTGAAAAATGGAGAAATATCATATCAAACTGGTAATGCAACTCCAGAGTCTTATCTCATGGCTCGTGTATAGGAATGGATAGGAAGAGATTGGCGAATCCAATTTACTCAAAACTACATAGAGGCAAATTTTTATGCGAATTTGTTATCAAAGTACCTCATAGATCATGTTGAAGATGACTACTACTAGTTTGAATTCCCCCATAATGTTTCAACGTTGATGGCTAACTTAGCTTCTTGTTTTGTGCCTCGATGCATTTTAGTTTGCGAATTTGTTGGGCCTTGCCCTTTTTTGTTTTACCAAGAACAAAAAATTCTTTTAGTTTTCATATATTTCAATTGAAGAGTGTTTGACATATTATTATTTATCCTATTATTTTAAATATTAAGAAAATAAAGTAATAATAAATAACAATGTATTAAAATATTAATGCATGAAAATATAAACTCGTTTGAAATAAAAATACATATTTCAAATTATGAATACTAATACAAAAGTCTCTTATTATTAGATCCCAAAAAAACTCCCAAAATTCTTTTTTTAGCCTCAATATTTTGAAACTAAGCTTGAATTAACTTTTTATTATTGTGTTAGTTGTCAACTTAGAAACAAACTTACAATATGAAATCATGGAAAGTAGTTTGGTGATTCTATGCTACGGAATATCTAAATTGATGTTTCATTACCCTCAATTTTCTTTGATTATTATTAGAGTTTTATTAATCTCATGTAATAAGAGAGAATCTTTCTCATGCTATAGAGACAATTATGTGTGGGATCCACCCACTTATAAAAAAAGAAAAAAGAATAGAAAAATAACACAGAAATTGATGTATGTGTAGGAAAAAAACATCTATATATATATTCGGATTTGAGATTCATTACAGATTCCCCCCTGTTCAGCGATTGCCATTTCACCTTCCCAATGAAAAAAACGTTGTTTTTAGTGATCATGCTTCAATAACCGATGTCAAGACTAGGGCGGAGTCTAGACAATCAATGTTCGAGTCTTGGATGGATGCAAATAAAAAATATCCAGAAGGTAGGAATCTTACTTATGCAGAGTATCCAACTCAATTTGTATATAAAGAAAGTACACATGAATGGCATCCCAGAAATCAAGGATTTTCAATTGGAAGAATAAATCGCTTTTCTGCCAATAATGAAAAAGATTCCTATCTCCGAACTTTACTTAATTTTCAAAAGGGTTGTACAAGTTATAAAGATTTGAGAACGGTCAATGGGGTGCTTTTTCCCACATATAAGGATGCCTGCTATTCTTTGGGGCTTTTGGATGATGACAATAAGTACATTGATGCAATTAAGGAGGCAAGTTCTTGGGGGTCAGCAACTTATTTGAGAAATCTGTTTGCCTTATTGTTATTTGGTAACTCAATGAACAGGCCTGAAAATGTTTTCCAAAAATGCTGGGAATTACTATCTGACGATGTTCTTTATCAGCATAGGCAAAGAATTGGACGTGAAGGTAATTGTCTGGAACAAATTTTGTGCATTCATTTATGTGTATTGTGCACTATAATTAATATTCTTGCCATTCTGTATCGTGCATTCATTTATGCAAACAGTTTGCTTATGTTTAATTCACTTGACATTCGAAAAATGTGAGCATTTTTTGTTCTTTCATAATAAAATTACATCTATACATTGTACACCGTCCTATTCTTAATATTTGGTTAAAAATTTTCGTTATGTTTCACACCCTCTGCTTTGTTCATAATTTCGCTTTATTTTTCTTTCCACACCAACTTTGTCTTTGTTAATCCTTTATTTTGTATTTTTCAATTTTTTTCAGATGCTTTGCTTACAGAGGATTCTATAAAAAACATAACCCTCGCAGAAATCGATAAGGTGTTGCAAAGCAACGGTAAATGCCTCTCTGATTACCCATCCATGCCGAGCATCATGGGTGAATCTTTATTGGATATGCAGAATAGATTGGTGATAGATGAATTGTTGTATGACAGTTTCTCTTTGAAAGAAGAGCATGACAGACTACTGAATTCACTCACTGATGAGCAGGGGGTTGTTTATGACAAAATAATTTCAGCTGTTTCGGCAGGTAAAGGGGGATTTTTTTTCCTGTACGGCTTTGATGGGACTGGAAAAACATTTATTTGGAACACCCTGTCAGCATTTGTTCGATCTCGAGCTGAAATAGTGCTTAATGTTGCTTCTAGCGGAATTGCTTCACTTCTTCTTCCTGGAGGACGTACAACACATTCTAAATTTCGTATTCCTATAGAGATCACCGAAGATTCAACATGTAATATGAAACAAAATTCTACTTTGGCAGAGTTGTTGTCAAAAATAAAGTTAATCATTTGGGATGAAGCATCGATGGTACACAAATTTTGCTTTGAGGCTCTTGATAGAACACTTAAAGATGTTCTTAGCTGTGTTGATATGCCCTTTGGTGGAAAAGTTGTCGTTCTAGGAGGTGACTTTCGACAAATATTACCTGTCATTCCAAATGGCAGTAGACAAGATATAGTTCATGCAACCATCAATTCTTCCTATCTATGGTCCCATTGTCATCTGTTATCTTTGACCAAGAACATGCGTCTCAATTCTGGAAGTAGCACTAATAATTTGTTGGAAATAAAAGAATTTTCTGAGTGACTGCTTAAAATAGGAGATGGAAATCTTGGGGATAATGTTGATGGAGAATCTATTATAACAATTCCAGATGAATTGTTGATCAAAGGTTCAGAAGACCCACTTTCAGATATTGTTGATTTTGTTTACCCGAATCTGATGGATAATATATTAGATCCTACTTTCTTTAAAGAACGTGCTCTTCTGACTCCTAAATTGTCCGATGTTGCCATGTTAAACGAGCACTAATGGCTGTGATTTCGGGTGAAGAAAGGACATTATTGAGTCCAGATAAGGTTTTGAAACAAGACGGTAATTCATCTCTTGAGGATGACGAAATCTCCCCTGATATCTTAAATACATTCTCATGTTCGGGGATTCCTGATCATAAATTAACTTTGAAGGTTAAAGTACCGGTGATGCTATTGAGAAATATTGATCAATCAAGATGTTTATGCAACGGTATGAGATTACTTATTACAAAGTCGGGGAATCATGTTGTTGAGGCAATTGTTCTTACAGGAAACAATATAGGAGATACTGTGTTAATCCCTAGAATGAAGATCAGCCCATCGGGTCATACATTTCCAGTAAACTTCCAAAGAAGACAATTCCCCTTGGTAGTTTCGTTTGCGATGACTATCAACAAAAGTCAAGGATAGTCGCTGTCTCATGTTGGCATTTATCTTCCTAGGTTTGTCTTCACTCATGGGCAATTATATGTGGCACTATCTAGAGTAAAGAGCAGACATGGATTGAAGATGCTGATACTTGATGAAAATGGTTGCGTTACAAATACTACCTTTAACATCGTCTACAAGGAAGTATTTCAAAGATTAGTGTAGTATACTTGGTTATTTCTACAAAGAGATAACATTGTTGTTTGGTATCAGGTAAGATCTCAATTTTTTATCAGAAAATATTTTTTAATCTTCTTTGTTGATTTCCTTTAGTTGTTGTGTCTATTTTTCTGCTAATTTTTTATTGTTATGCAGATTCAGTATTCGAGGCACAATCAGTATATTATTCCCTTCTCATTTTTCAGAGTCAAAGGTTTTTCATTGTAATTCTGAATTATTCATGTGCCTAAACTATATAATTCCCTTCAATAATTTTTTCTTTTCCAAATATTATTTATATATTGTTTATGACTCATTTCGAACAGCAGCAAATACCAATAGTGCATGGCAGACGATATTTTACAACTGTTGTGAGTATCGGTTGGGCATATTTCTTATTATATTGCTGTCAACATGACATTTATATTTTTTTAATGGAGATTTTGCTGTCAATTATGGAATTTACTGTGTTTAAATTATTATATTCTTGTTTTTGTTCCTACCTTAAAAGTTACACGTTTATGTCATACGAACAAACCGATTTTCTTATTAATTCGTTTACGGGACAAACAAATCGATTTTTTTTTTCTCCGTGCATCGCACGGGTAATCAACTACTTCTTATACAACATAAGAGTATATATATATATATATATTTTTTGTGGTAAAAATATTTTCTTTTATTATTATTATTATTATTATTTATTTATTTTTAAATAACTCTTTCATCGGATATTTTTTTCAAATAACTATTGTTTCGGGCCGGGTCGGTTCAACAAGGTAAACGGAGCCCTTATAATGTTGTTCATCTTCGCCAATCGAAAGACCCTAGATTTTCAGAGAGCTGGTTCTTCAATTTTCTGTGGCTCAAGTCTCAATCGTTAACGAGATCCATCGCGTTCGTTCAGAGTAAGGTGATAAGCTCCCACTCTATTTTATTCCTTACTCACACTGCATGATTTCAACTACACGCTTCTCCTGGATCTCGTTGCGTCAATTTTTTTTTTTAGTAATGAAAAATAAATCTCATAATTTTTCCCGAATTCCTTTGTTCGGATACACTTGTTTTATTTTTATCCCGATTTCTGATTGCTTTCAATTTTGTTTTATCGCTTAATCTGTATCATTTGTTGTTTTTCCCCCTATTCATTATTTTGATTTATTGTCAAATTAATGCTTTATTTTGATCATGCTTTTTTTTAATGTTCTTTTGAATTATGAAGTTAGCTGTAGTCTGCAAGTTTCTTCTTTGGGTGCAAAATGACATTAGGGTAGTGGATGCATCTGTCCCTAGTTAGTAGCTAGCACTTGTAGATGTTAATTCTGTTTATGTTGTTTTGGCACTGGTCACAGTTCTTGCTTAGGTAATTGGTGAATTATTAATAATAATGCTAACCACATGCTTTACCTCATATTTGCACAGTTTTTACATTCTCGTTACAGCTTGTCCCATCTCATTTTTTGCACACCCACACTGTTATTCTTCCATCTCACTCAAATGTGAGGCGATGTGCACCAAACATCATCACTTATTAACACCTGCAGAAGCTACAGTTTTTAGTATACAATGCAATTTAGTTAAGAGACCTTGGAGTGGTGAGGAAAATATAGCAAAAACTAATTTGTTATTTGCGGGAAAATGGAAATCTGCATCATTGTCCTTGTAAAGCTTTTCTAATATGATATGTTGGATATTATCATATGAAATTTCAAATTTAAAATTGTTTTGTACTGGATTTGTATAAGTTTTTGTATGATATATCTTGTTCTTCACCTACTTTAGTTGATAAAAAATACGGTTGGGTCATTTGGGAGTTCAGTAGTGTGGTGCTTCATTTATATATTTATCGCATTGTTCCTTTTCATCTTGTGTTTTTTGTCCACTTGTTTCATGCCTTGGTAGTTGTTCAAGGCTTCTAGCATTTCGCTTAATTTGTTGTGTTTGTGACATAGAGCGTCATGGAGGGGGTGGGGACTCATGATACTAGTTCTGTTTTGTTTCATTTCATTTCATGCCATGTTTTCTTTCCTTTTCCCCGCTTCTTTTTTACAGTTGGGAAAAGCTTTTGTGAGATAATCATTTGCCATGTCGTGCAGGATGTCGTCGGAAGCACCGTTCACACCACGAGAGAAGCTTTTTGAGAAGCAAAAATATTTCCAGAATATCCATAAGCACACTTACTTGAAAGGTCCCTTTGATAAGATTACGTCTGTTGCAATACCAATTGCTTTGGCTGCATCTTCAATTTTTATGATTGTAAGTTTAATTGTAATCTGAAATCTTCATATGTTTCTGTCTTTGTCAGATTGAAGTTATTAGTGTGTCTCCAACTCTTAATCTGTTTCTAGCTATATCTGATAAACATTGTTTTATGCCTTTTTATCAGGGACGAGGGATCTATAATATGTCGCATGGAATAGGAAAGAAAGAATGACTTTGAAATTTCTGATTGAGGAGGTGGGTGTTTTGCCACACAAACCTAACAGAACCTCCTCAATATGGACCAGTGATTTTCTTTGCATTTATGCTTGTTCTCTTAATAAAACTTTGACCACCATTGGGGGTTTATAACAATGAAAGTGGTTCTTTGTTTGTTTGATATATAATCGATTGATGGCTAAACTACAGGTTTGGGGTTCTGTTTTAGTGCTTTTATGTGTTAACTGTTCCTTCTAGTTTGTGTTTCTCCTTGCTTTGCATGCGCTAGACAAGCTCAACAGTCTTTACTTTGGTAAACATTTCATTTGCCCTTTCGCATGGTAGATAGATCAGTGGAATTGCCTGGCGACTATTTGTTGCACGTTTTGGTTTCAAAATACTGATGTGCGATGGGTAACATAACATGAGCCAGCATGTCCTTCCAAGTATGGGGACTGAAAGGGGATGGCCTTAAGCTATGGATGAAATAGACAAAGTAGGCGGATTCAAGTTCGGTTTGGATTTCGGAGCATTTGTTTTAAATGAACTATTTATTCTTAAATAATTAGAATCGTGTAATTTCACACTTCAAATTAGTAACACGAAACTGCATTTATTTATTTTTAGTCTGAAATTACATTTATTTATTGTCCTCAGTAAAGCGAATAGGTACCACTTTGGGTTAGGAGTCTCAGAACGTGAGGCACCTGAACTATTCTAGAACTTTTTCTTCGTCAAATTTTTTGGTTCATAAACCCACCTTCTGGAAGTAGCCCTTTTAAAATATGTGCTTATTGCTTCCTGTGATTGGGTCCAATTTACCTCAGTTGTCATTAGAGTTTGGGCTACAAGGTGAGAAAATCAGAAACTTGATATTTGGAAGATTAAGAAAGCAACTTTGTCGTTGAGAGATAAAGCAGTTTGTTTCGACGAAAGACACAAAGGAGATTAGAGAGCACGAAATAGTTCATTTTGTGAAGGCGAGCACAAGCTTGTCGTTTGGTTGACAGTTTTATGATTACAAGTTTTGCATATGGTTTTTATACCTCATGGTGTTGTTTGATCATATACTAAAAGAGTTTGTTGCACATCATCATCAGTTGAAACTTGAAACCAAACTTTTGCTGCCTCAATCCATCGGAAATGTGATATGTTGACCTAGTAGGCCTTAGCATTTCAAAGTCCAACATGACCTACCACCACCAGTTGGTACTGCTCTCTTAGTCGCAGCAGTTAGAGCACAGATGCTTACAATGCTGTTTAATCAAGATTCAGATACTAAGAACTTCATAGACAGTCAACACTCACAACCAAGAGTACGCCACCCACTCAGCTGGAAACTATAATTTTTTTGGTGGTTGGACTGTGGAGCATAAAATATTCAAACCCCCCTAATCATCAAAAACTTTGCAGATCTTTGAATGGACAAACCTTACATGACACAGCTGGATTGGCTTTTTAGCTTTTCTGAGTATCCATAAAAGTAGTGTTCTCTTGACTGTTTTAAGAAACATATAAGTGGCTGATTAGCTAAAGAAAGATCCTAATGAATAATAAATGAACTTATGATGAATACTAATTAATAATCAAGGACCATATGTCAGCCTGGAAAGTCTTCACTCTTCACCGTGAACTCTTTCATGTATTTTCTTGTATTGTACTTGTCCCTACTTAAATCATTCAGGTAGTGTGCATTTGTTGAAGAAATTTTAAACAATATCTGATAAATTCCTTATATTAACTCTAGATTGACAAGTCGTTCACATATAGTAAAATATTACCTTAAAAATGACTTTAGATTCTATGATAATGCTTTCTGAGTTTTCACACCTAGATTCATTAGTGGAACTCGATAGTGCTTGGCCCAGTATTGTGAGACCAATTATTTGGAACACTATCTGACTTTATGTTATAGAATACATTTTTGGGCTGGTCAGCCATATGGGGTAATAATTTTCATAAAGGCAACTATCTGCTGCCAATTCTCCTACTGTGTCTTGTTTCCTAAGGCTCTCTCCATTCATGCTTTCTGTAGCAGTAGGTGAGCCCTTTCTGTCCACTCCCCAACCAAAACTTCTGCTCCAAGCACCTTCCTATCTTAAAGAAAGCACCTTATATTATTACCAATTGTCACTTAGAAACTTTCAAACAAATTTACCTGTATATATAATCTAACTAAAATAAATAACGACTTATCATATATATGGTAAAAGGAGGATCTGATTCTAAGGACTAAGGTGGGGTGGCAGGTATATATATAACTATAGATATATATGTCTTTCTAAAATTTCTGGTCCATACATAAACTATTGATGCCCCGATGTGAAGCAGTAGTTAGCTGAATTTGCCAATATACCAACTTAAGGAAATTGCTACCTAACTAAAGCAGGTTCATCAAGATTCTTCACTAAGTTTTCAGAGAAATAATAAAACGGAGAAGTGTAGGCAAAGATTTAACATTTATACTCTCTACGTATAACTCCCTCCAAATGAACTTTGGTGGTGCTATAATCAATTTGGCTTTTGAATTAAGGTGGCAGGAAAAACACCAAATATTTGTTCAGCATAGATAAATACACTATTTAGAATATATAATTTGTTAACAGGCATTTCTGTCATTTGGGCTTATTCTATAGTTTGTTAATAAAATAAACTATTTGGTCTCATACCCTTAAAAGCCAGTCTTGTTTATAAGCACCTTGGGGGGAAAAGAGCTATCATTCCAAAGAAAAGAGAAAAAGAACAGAGAAAACAGTGAAGGGAGAGGAAAAGAGTGTCATAGTTTGTGGTGCAGTAATGGCAACACCAAAACAGTCATATGAGCAGCAACAACAACAAAATGTGCAGCGAGTGAGGAACTCAGGGATGATTAACTCCAACCAGAGTCCAATAGGGGATGATAAGGAAGAAGAGATGTCAAGATCAGCTCTTGCAATGTTTCGAGCAAAGGAAGAAGAAATTGAGAGGAAAAAAATGGAGGTAAGGGAAAAGGTCCATGCTTATCTAGGTCGAGTGGAGGAGGAAACAAAGCGCTTGGCTGAGATTAGAGAGGCAAGTTTAACAATACATACTTTTTTTTTTCCCTTTGATGTTATATTTGGTTTAACTCTAAGCTTTCATGCTCTCTTTTTTTTTTTTGGCTTTTGGGCCATGTATATATTTTACATATTAATCAATATAAACATGAGGTATGGGAATAAGGTATAAAGTCTATACAAATTTGAATATCACATATGTGCAATAACTGAGGACAAGCAGAAAATTCAAAGGCAATTGTAGTATCATGTGTGCAGTGTATTGGTTGTTTATCCTTGTTCTTAAACAATTACTTACGTGTTTTAAATGCAAGAATTTTCGTAAGTGTTGAATAGTAATTGCTTGAAAAACTGCATATCATTTTCTAGGAGCTTGAGGGTCTCTCAGATCCGTTGAGGAAGGAAGTTGCAGTAGTTCGAAAGAAGATAGACAGTGTTAACAAAGAGTTAAAACCACTGGGCCAAACCTGCCAGAGAAAGGTGGGGTTTTCTAACTGTTTACTAGTTGTTGTTTGCTTTTGTCATTTCTAAATCTTTTACTTAAAGCCATAAGATTTGTTCAAGGTGGCAAAGTGATCCCCATGTGTTTTACTTACACAGCTTTTGATACAAACAGTTAAGCACTTCATAGAATTTAATCAACCAACCTTATTTGCTTTCTTTGGCCCCATTTTGTCTCATGAGTTGGGAGACAAGTGGGCATGGTTATTTTAGTGGTTGAGGTTATCATTCATAATCATTGTGTTTGAATGTCCACGTAGAAAATGACAGATTAGGTTCAATGGGAGATTTCAAAATCTTCATGCAAGCTTCTTTTGCATCATAATGCCAAGAAAAAAAAAAAAGATTGAATAGAAATATAAATTATCTTAACTTGTTGGAACCTTTTTTGGGATCACAGGAAAGAGAATACAAGGAAGCCCTTGAAGCTTTCAATGAGAAAAACAAGGAAAAGGCTCAACTTGTTACTAAATTAATGGAGGTTAGAAATTTTATTATGATTTTCAGTGTTTGTACTCAAAGTTTCTAATTTTGTTTCTTAACTTGTCTTTTTCCCTTGGTATTCTGTGGACTTTGGGTTAGCTTGTGACTGAAAGTGAGAGATTGAGGATGAAGAAGCTGGAGGAGCTAATCAAAAACGTAGAAACCCTGCATTGAGATGCTAATAAAAGTAACCCCTTTGGATTCAGTGTGCTATAACTAGAATACGTGTATCGTTTTATGTGGCATAATTTGTGATTTTATTGTATTTTGCTGACTTAATTAGGAAATGTGCATTGGACACCTATATTCTGAATAGTGAATACTACAAAGGTTCTTGTCATTTTATTATGAGATGTGCTGATTCTGTCATCAAATGCAAATTGAATTCAATGAAAAGTCTAGTTAAACTAATTCATCCTTTCAACTTACCTAATTGATGTCAGGAATACAAAAATTTACTATTTCTAACGTTGAAATATTTGTTCCATTGCATAACATTTTGCACACGAGAACTATATACACTTGTACGCAAGTTAAATTTGAACTTAAATTTCCAGATATTTTACATATCACCTGATTTCTATGTTTCTCCTTTCTAATTTATGGTTCGTAACGTTTGACCCATGATTTTTCTTTTTACCTTATTTGTGACTCCTTTTCTAATAGTAAGAGATCGGTTCTCAATAAATCCAACGAACAAATTAAAGGGAAAAAATTGTCAATATATTTACATTTCAAATCTGTATGAATTAGTAATAACACTCGCAATGCAACTACTAATACAAAATCAAATAAATTTTAAGAGACTACGTTATAATTGTTCCCTCTCTCTAAGTTATAAAAATTAAGAGAATTGACTTCAAAATTATATTTAAAAAGAAAATAGAAAAAAATGGGTATTGAATGGAGAAAAGTTCATTCGCCTTCCACTAATTTCATTCCATTATCTTTCAATAAAATTTCAAATTAATTTTCTAAAATGAGGCATACTAGGCATTAAAATAGGATCAAATTTCACGTAAAAAAATAGGATCGAATTTCAAGTCTTTAACATTATAATTTTTTTTTATCAAATCTCAGAACAAATATTTCATAGAACAATATTTTCATCCAACAGAAAAAAAAATACGGAATAATATACTCAAACAAAAATTCGATTATTTATTTTGGTTTGAAAAAAAAATTCCTGCAGAACATTCGATAAGTGTACTATGATTTCTTTTGATTTATATTTTTTTCTTTCAGTGGGGCACACCAAAATTTGTTTATGCAAGAACAATAGAGATGTAGGACTTGTTTGAAATTAGTTTTTAAAAACAATTTTTTTATTTTCAGAAAAAAAATTCGTATGATAAGATCTATTTTGTTAATTTTTAAAAAAAAATTATAGCTGTTTTCATGATTATTTTACAAAATAATTTTAACCACAAAAAATCAAAACATAATTAAACAATTTTATACCCAAAAAGGAAAAACAAATACACAAAATTATTTTTTAAATTTAAATAGGTAGACTTAAACTATCAGAATAGAACGTAGAGCGAAAGAAAGGGGTAGTGATGGAGAACACTGTAACTGTAAACCCTAGCGATGGAGAACGACGAAAGGTGGTGGTTATAACGGGCCCCACAGGTTCCGGGAAGTCGAAGCTTGCCGTTGATTTGGCCTCTCACTTCCCCGTCGAAGTGATCAACGCCGATTCCATGCAGGTCTACCGTGGACTCGATGTTCTCACCAACAAACTCACACTCTCCCAACAAAACGGTACCATCAGATCATGCTCGCACCTGATTATTTCCCAATCTCATTCGGTTTCTGAAATCTCGTTTTCATTTGTTGTAGGAGTGCCACATCATCTCTTGGGTACCGTAAACCCAAACTTGGAATTCACAGCTAAAATGTTTCGGGATTCTGCTATTCCCGTAAGTTCCAAGCTTCAACGTTGATTTTGAAGTGGTGAATTGATGAAATGATGAAGATTCTTTTAGTTTATTATTATTATTATTATTATTATTATTTGTTGTTCTTAATTTTCAGATCATCCATGATATATTAGCTCGCAAGCACTTGCCTGTTATAGTTGGGGGTACTAATTACTATATTCAGGTGTGGGTTTTGATTCATGCTGCTAGTATTTATGTGCATTCTTTATGTCTCATGTTCTTCATATTTATTTATTTATTTATTTTTAAATATCTTACATATGTGCTTTCTTTAGTCCCTAAGGTGATACCCCATTCAACTCATCCAATTTTATTGATTTTAGTTATTGAATTATATGATTATATATGTATCAAATCAAATGTTGTACTTATTGAAACATGTGTGTATATATATTTCGTGGTGCTGAGTTCTAGATTGTATTTCTTATATTTTGCACTCTTGCCTGTTATCTCCTCTTCAGGCTCTTGTGAGTCCGTTTCTTTTAGATGACTCGGCAGAAGATATGACTGAAAACTGTTCGGGTGATTCGCCTGGTAACTTGATATCCGTGCTCTATTCTTTTCCTGTTCTATTAAAGTGTACTTATATCTATTTTATTTGTAATTTTGTAGGTATCAAACAGTCTGATAATAGTTTCATTGATGAAAATGATAGTTCAAACGATAGTTATGACCTGCTTAAAGATATTGATCCAGTTGCAGCAAATAGAATCCATCCAAATAATCATAGAAAGGTCGGAGTGTAATTTCATTATTTATTCTTCTTGAGAAATATATAGGGCCATCTTCTTTATACAGTTAGAGTTACATACGCTTGTACATATATGCTTTTTCTTTTAATTGTAGTACTTGTAATTTTAAGGAAATTTTTTAATGTTCTGGTGTGCTGTACATTCATCAGACGCAATATGCTCTTTGAATTCGTTGCTGAACTTTTAAATTTATATGAAGTGATAACTGGGGATGACACATCTACACATGTTGTTTTGTTGTTTCAGATAAATCAATATATTAGTTTGTATGCTCGCACTGGTGTTCTTCCTAGCAAAGTTTTTCAAGGAAAGGCAGCGGAGGTTTGTTATCTTCTTTGACATTCATTTATTGATTGCAAATTCAATATAATCTCTTTTCCCCTAGTCCATCTATGCTTTGACATATCATGTTTTTCCTCAATTTATGGTGTTGTTAATTGATTGCTTCCATAATTCCTAATCACCCTCCCTTGCTTTACCCATTTTGTTCACCTTCTACTGGGCAATTGGCTTTGACAGCAGTTGGATTACTGACTGACAAACTACAGAAACAGAAGAAGGATGATCAATTTCTCTTGAGTTTTATTTCAATATGTCTGTTGATTCTTTTTTCTAGCCTTTTAAATAATATTGGTCTTGCTCGTGGCAGGGCAGAAGTGGGGTCAAGTTGATAACTTAAGATATGATTGCTGTTTTATATGTGTGGATGCATCTCTCCCTGTGCTGGACAGATATGTAGAGCGGAGGGTAGATTGTATGATGGATGCTGGGTTACTCAATGAAGTCTATGACATTTACAATTTGAACGCAGATTATACTAGAGGTTTATGTCAGGCCATTGGTGTCCGTGAATTTGAGCCTCTTCTTAGAACTTGTGTTGTGGAAGACATCTATAGAAGAGAGAAGGAATTGACTGAGGGATCCAGCATAGAAAAGGATGAGACATTGTTTTATGGTAATCTGATGGAGTGGTTGAGATCTTCATCTGATACTAAATCCATAATTCTTTTGGAAGAAGCAATTGAAAAAGTAAAGGTTAATACTCGGAGGCTTGTTCGCCGTCAGGTAAAAATAATTTGTCATTTCTGTGACCTCCTTAAACAAGCATTCTTGACAAAAAAACATTTCTGTTGGCCACATATGCAAAGAAACTGAATATGGTCATTTTTCTGGTTAATCTCACCATATGTGATAGAAGATTGACCATGAAATGCTTATATGAATTCTGATATTGAAGTTTGAAATATCTTCTGTCATTTTTGAAGAGCATTTATTTCAAATGGCAAAAGTCTGTGCAATATCAATATTTTCTTGTTTTTTGTTTTAGGTATAAGACTCTGTTTAGCAATTTTAGGGTTACTATCATTTTTTTTTTGGGGTGCTGTCTCTAAAATTAATTTTGATGTAATCTATCATATTGTCGCTATACATTGAATTTACTGGAGTTAGTACAGAAATTTGAAGTTTGAGATTGATATGGAAGCTTTGTCCATGACAGAAGAGGATGCTCAGTCGACTACAAACACTGTTTGGTTGGAAAATACACTATGTTGATTCCACGGAATCAATATCAAGTAAGCTGTCTTAAACTTGTTCCTGTAGATTTTCTGTGTTTATTGTCATCAATTAAAATTTTGAAGTATCCTGGATTATATTGATCTGGTTATTTTATGTTTTAGGCAAGTCAGATGATGTATGGACTGGCCAAGTGGTTGAATCTGCCATGAAGATAGTTAGATCTTTCTTGAGCGAGAATGGAAGCTTGTCATCCACCTCTGGGATGTCAAATGACACTGAGATGAAAATAATTCAAAGGGACCTCTGGACTCAATACATATGCAAGGTCTGCTATGTTTTAGAATCCACCTGGCATATGGCATTTGCCCCTTTCGTGTTACGGGAAAAATAAAATAAAAAATCTGCGTTGTTTTGCTTACTGATTACCCTTCAATCACACCTGTTTATTTGGGAAAGGGAGAATGGGGTGATTCTTATGGTGCAATTCTGCGCCACAAATTGCAAAAATTTCACTGCAGAACAAAATTTAAGTGGCACAGTTTTTAAACTATCCAATTTAAATGAATTTACATTTGGATACTAAAATTTATCTCTATAAAATTCACAATATTCCATGTATGCTGTGCTAGCATAACAGTGTTACATGCACATATTTGCTTACTCATTATTTCACGTTTAGGTCCATCTCATTTTCTGCACACATACTCTATTGTTCTTTCTTCCGTGAAATTGTTAAGTGAGAGAAAGGGTGAGATGTTATAATTTATTTCTGCAGTGGCAGTCTGGCACATAGTGCTGCTGCTGCACCATCAAACATGTTCTGTTTTCTTATGAACCTTCCTGTTGACAGGCCTGCGGAGATCGGGTGCTTAGAGGATTACATGAATGGGAACAACACAGGCAAGGTCGTGGACACCGAAAACGTATTTCTCGTCTCAAGAGCAAGGTTCAAGGTCTTAGCTTCGTGGAACAAAAGCTGGAGTATTCTGAATGCGAATAGTTAGATAATCCTGTAATTTGGAATCTTATGAAATATATGGGTGGTACTACTATTGAGTATTGAAGGCTTGTCCACGTCGAATAAGAAATTTCATTTAATGGATTTCGTCAACAAGTGTGAAATTAACAAAATAAAAAATATTTATAAAATTTACAGTTTTTAATACATTAAGAACTTAAATTTTTTTATGTTTTATTTAATATTTTTATTTTTTAAGTGTCCTTGAGAAATTCATTACAAAACGGAAAATGGTGGTTGATTCGAAATCGTTTTTCACGAAGTTGGGTGCTGAAGATAATGAACGTGTGACGGACCACATTTCAAAATTAACAAACGTCTTCTGTGCCTCCGCTATTGTCACGTAATTCCGAAGCATTTTGTTTTATTCTGTAGTACTATACTACTATTTTAAAAAAATGATGAAAAAAACCAGACGAACATTATACTTTCAGTCAAATGGTCAAATGCGATCAATCTAAAAGCAAAAATAATTAAAAGATAGGCACACCTTATCATAAAAAGTGGGAGACACAAATTAAATAACGATACGATGAAACAACAACGAAGATGCATATATAAATATCTGGTGTTTGGAGTAGGTATAAGTCTAACTAAAACAAATGTTTTTGTTATCAAAAAAAAAAAAAAAATACAAATGTTTTAGAGAAACGTTTCTGTACAAACGAGCTTAGTGCTTGTAATTTAGATAAAAAAAGAATAACAGTAAATACCCTTTTTAGTCCCTGACAATATTCACGAAGGCCTTTTCGGTCCCTGACAATATCCACGAAGGCCTTTTCAGTCCCTAGCAATAAAAAATGAGCAAATTGGTCCCTGAAATTACAAAAAGGGGCCACGTTGGTCCTTCTGTGAACTCCACCGTAATGGCCCAACTAACGGTGCCCATGTGGCACATTAGTGTGCTGACACGGCTTGGACGTTGGACAACGTGGATGAGCAAACGACGACGTTTTGTTGCAAATGGGTTCAGAGCTTTCCAAAGTAGGGCACAACGTCATTTTTTGCTTTTAGAGTACTCATCAACCACACTGGAATGAACGGTAGTTAGACATCCATATTGCACTTAACTTTTTCAACTTGCAAGGAACCCCATTGTTTACCTCCGAAGCTTGGTTGAACGGTGAGCATTGTGGAAGACGGTGGTTTCTGGTAAGATAATCGACCCCAGACAGTGAAGGTTGTGGAAAGGCTGGTTCTCTGGTGGTTAAAGAAAGTTCGAGTGTGGGTGTTGTCTTACATGCACTAAGGTACGTGTTGTCAGAAATCCTTCGATATATGTGGTCGCCCCTCACTACATGTTGTGTATTTTTTGTTGGATATGGTCCCCCATGTGCGGTCCATTGTCTGTTTATTTGGTTAAGGTTTACAAAAAACATACCCCTTTATGTCTGTGGTCCCGGTTTGAAAAGTTTTTTGGCATTTTTTAGTGCCAATTTGTGGACCCTGATGTTAGTCCCTGTATTGCATGCATCTTTTGTAAAAGTTATTATTTTTTTGCAATTTAATGCCCTGTATGTTTACATGCCAGTGTTGAGTGATATAACCAAATGGCTATTGTTGTTAAAATGTGATTGGTTGTTAACGTTGTGAAGTAACTGTCATGTGGTGTGTTTTTTTTTTTTTTTTCAGATGGATGAATATATAGTGATAAGGTATCATCTTGGGGGTGTGTTAATCAGAGATGATGAAGGGGTCCTAACATATGCAAATGGAAAAGTAGTTGACTTACCTGAGATGGATACTGACTTTGTCAACCTGCGTGACCTTGATACTCTGTTCAAGGGTTATGGGTATGAGAAATGTGATTAGATGTTGTGGCTCATGCCAAACACAATGGATTTAGACAGTGGTTTAAGGCCTCTGAGTACGAACACTGATATTGTGGAGATGGTTAAGGCTGCATTAAGTAATGAGAACTTCATAGAAATATATTTTGATCATTGCATTTCCATCCTTGATATTATTGCACCTGCACCTGTGGAAGGCAGTGATGGGGATGAGGATAATCTGCGTGAGTCATTTGGAAGTGGATCTGATCACATTTCCTCAGGTGATGAAGATGATAATGGAAATGGTGATGGGTTTTCTACTGACTCAAATGATAGTGTGGAGGATGAGCCATATAAGCCTCCTCCACCAGGGTATGAAGAAGAAACAGAGAGTGAAGAGGAGTTAGAGTGTATAGGTAAGGCTACTAAAAAAAAAGTGTAACAAGAAGAAAAAAAAGGTTGTTCAGGAGGTGGTAAGGGAAGATACAATGGAAGAGGAGGAGAAGCAAATGTCTTTCGAGGAGGATGGGTATGGGTATAACTCTGAAGAGTTGAACACTACTCCTTCAAGTGGTGCTGAGGAGGCTGAAAGGGTTGTCAATCCAAAGTTTAATGTGGATGAGGTGTTTGGTCATGTACACTTAGAGATGGGGATGGAGTTTGTAAGTTTGCAACACTTTAAAAATGTTGTCAAAGACTATAATATTAGTCTAGGAAGACAATTCAAGTGGGTGAAGAATGACAAAGTCAGAGCCCGAGCCAAGTGTAGTAATGAGGAATGTGATTGGATGATTTTTTGTGCTTGGAATAACAAAATGGCCGCATTCCAAGTCAAAACATTTAATGACTCCCACACTTGCTGCAGACTTTTCAGAAACAAGAGGGCAAGTAGGAGTGAGTTGCAAATAAGTTAGAAAAAAGGCTAATGACATAGCCGAATATGACAAGAGCTGAGGCCTATGAACACATGAAAGAGGAGTACAAAGTTCATGTCCATTTGAAGAAAGTGACCAAGGCACTTCATAAAGCCAAGGGGTTGATTCCAGCACTGCAAGAGGTGATGCCTGGTGCACATCATCATTTTTGTGTGCAACATGTCTGGAAGAACTTCATAAAACAATGGAAAGACAAGGCAATCAGAGGCATTGTCTGGGAGTGTTCAAGATGCAACACTGTCCCCCAGTTCTTAAAGTCAATGGCACGTTTGAAAGGGATGAATGAGGCAGCATGGAAGTACTTAGACAACCTTGATCCCTCAAGTTGGGTAAAAGCTTATTTCAGCCATTGGCCGAAATGTGATAACATCACAAACAATATGGCAGAGATATGGAATGCCAAGATTGTTGGGTATAGGTCTAAACCAATAATCACTCTATTAGAGGAATTGAGGTGCTACATTATGAGGAGGATGGCTGCACATCAAAGGGTTTTAGGAACTGTCCGGGGTAAAATTGCTCCTGCTCAACAAAAGAAACTAGATCAAATAAAGGTTCTGAGCAATTCATGGACACCAACTTGGACTGGAAATCTGCAGCAAGATATGTATAAAGTTAGTGGTAGAGGTGAGAGAGTTGGAGTGAATTTAACAACACATAGTTGTGCATGCAATGCATGGCAGTTGACTGGACTGCCATGCGAGCATGCAATAGCAGCCATTTGTCACAAAAATGAACCACCTGAGAACTATGTCCATCAATGGCTTACATGCCTTGCATGCCACTTATGCACACACCTTAAACCCAGTGAATTCAAACAAGTATTGGCCTTCATCTGATGAACCCAAACCTCTTCCTCCAAAATTGAAAAGGCCAATTGGGTGTCCCAAGAAACACAGGAAGAAGGACCCAATTGAAGAGCAAGAGAGCAGTACAAAGAAAGTTAAAAGGACATATGCACCCAAGTGTCCTAAATGTGGTCAGACTGGACACTATGCAAAGAGCTGTAAGGGACCACTATCTTCCAACAAAAAAAACAGGCAAGCAAGACCAGAATCTGTAAAGATTGGATCCAACTCAGTAGATGAAATCCCATTAAGTCAAGGAGGCCCTGCAACACATGGTAGTTCTCAGCCACATGAAGGCAACTTGAGAGGAGGCAGCCCACCTCCATCAAATCCACACCAGGAAAATGAAATGTTGAGTAAGTAAACAAGGAATGCAGCATCCAGTAGCACACGAAGCAGATTTTTGGCCTTAATGAAAACCCCTAGTTTCAGGGCACCAAGGCTTGCCTCAAGAAAATGAATGAATGTTGTACATGAAGTGGGAGTAGTGCATGAGCCAACTGACAAGGACTGCATATAATGTGACTGACTTTTTTGTAAATTCTGGCCATTATGTTTTTGGAGGCCTCATATAGTCAATGTTTTTTTTGTTTGAATTCTGGCCATATTGTATTTAGGGGCCTTTCTTTTCATTCCTGATAGTTGGCTTTATTTTGTAATGCACTACTCTTTTGTAGTTCTTGGACAAATATATTTAACTGAGATATGTTTGTTAACTGAGTATTGCATGTCTACTGGTTGAACATATTGGACATCATCTGTATCTGATGTATTGCACTTCTTTTTAACAAATTTGGACTGCATACAAAAGCAGACAAGTATGTGCAGCCATTTCTCTGTTTAGGGACCAATAAGGGCCCCGTGCATTTTGTCAGGGACCAAAATAGTCACATGGTTGATGAATGTTCCAGCTGTTATGTCTAACAGGGTAGATGAACGTCATACAAGCATGTCCATTTTTTATTGTTATGCCTAACTGAGTTATGTAATTGTAGTTGTTGGACCTCCATGTCATCTGTTATGCACTTTTGTTCTGTAAACTTGTACTGGAAGAAAATCAATGAAGTCATGTCCTATTTTTTTGTGGTCAGGGACCAAAATGGGCCCCGTGCATTTTGTCAGGGACCAAAATGGTACTCGATGTAATTTGTTAGGGACCAAAATTGCCCTCGTGTTTTTCCCTGGTTAACAAATGTGCATAACAATATGGAACTTCTGTAACAACAATTTCATGATTTTTGCATCTATATCTGTACATGGATGGTTTGTGATACAATGTAGCAAGCTATTGGCCTTCATTCCATGCCTAACTATGCAATATACCATACTAAAAGAAACTTAGCATCCAGTAGTGCAGTAGTTGATACACAAATATATGATGCCAGAAGATATATAGGAATACATTGAAAGCTTCTTAATAATAGGCCATATGATACCATACACAAACAGACAGATCCGAACCAACAGAGAATGTTCCATATAATACAACCTTCTTCATTAATTTGTATAACAAAAGTACTGAGTACTCATTACAATTCATTGAAAGAAAAATACATTGGGGTAACTTGTTTTCACTTTTACCACACTAACAACAAACATACAGATGATGATCACACCAACACAAGCAGCACATAAGACCCTAGCTGACCTATCAACTGTCCTAATTTGTTTGTCCATCCTATCTAACTCCTCCACCATCTTCAGGTATACATCATTCAGTTTCTTTCCTGCTCATGAAGCTTCATTCCTTGCTTAGTAATCTTCACATCTTGCTCTCTCATCATCATGTCTACATACTTCAACTTGAAATTAATTTCAGCAACATCCAACTCCATAGTGTGAATTCTTGCTTCTTCCAGCTCCATGGGTTCATTACACATGTCATCTACCCATCTAAAAAAATCACAATAGGGCTTCTTCTCCTACAAAAAAAAAAACCACGGTTAGCAAGTGTTTCAACTTAATAAAGGGGCACATTACACATGTATACCTTGAAATTAGGACACCCAAGGAAAACCCTGTTTGGGTTTCTCTCAGTTTTGGAGGTATATACAATACTTTGTCTCCCACATTTGCACCTACGACCGGCAGTCCTTGTCAGTGTTCTTCCCCCATTGAAGTACTCCCACTTGATCCCTCCATGCGAGAAGAAACACTCATCTTCTCCCACGCCCAGCAAATCCGGTTGATGTCCTCTACTGTCGTCGAGTTTCAATCATCAACGTCCAAAGATTTTGGGGGCGTATTGCTGTTTAGGGTTTTGCTCATCAATTTGGGGGATTTGTGTCTGTTTAGTGTTCGATTGATGGAATTTGGGGTATTTTCATATTTAGGGTTCATGATCAAAGCAAGAAACGACGTCGTGCCCTACTTTGGAAAGCTCTGAACCCATTTGCAACAAAATGTCGTCGTTTGCTCATCCACGCTGTCCAACGTCCAAGCCGCGTCAGCACACTAACGTGCCATATGGGCACCATTAGTTGGGCCGTTACGGTGGAGTTCATAGAAGGACCAACGTGGCTCCTTTTTTTGTAATTTCAGGGGCCAATTTGTTCCTTTTTTATTGCTAGGGGCTGAAAACGCCTTCTTGGATATTGTCAGGGACTAAAAAAGGGTATTTACTCAAAAAAGAAAGAAAATCGTACATTATGTAACTAACCAAAGTTCACGTTTTTTATTTAAAAACAAACGAGAAAATCTAGTCTTACCTACTTTATTTCCACCCTTATGGAAATAATTGTCTCATGTTGCATGAGATAATTATCTCATGCAACAGAGACAAAATAGTGGGGTCTATTATTTTATTTTATTTTTTGAAAAAGTAGTGGACTCCACAATCTTATCTCTGTTGCATGAGATAATTATCTCATGCAATATGAGATTAATAGATCCCTATCAATAAATATAAAATGTATAGATAGATACCTTTTTTTTTGATACAATAAAGGGGCATGGCCCCGATAGATACCTTTTTATGGAAGGAAAAATTGACAAACAATTGAAAATATTAAGGAAGGAAAAATTGAAGCGGGTAAAATCAGGAGAAATGGGCTCAAGCTGCAATGGCCCAAACGGCAGAAGAACAAGCCCAAATATTGGGAGGACTATCACACTGAAAGGGCCTAGGAAGTTTTAGCAAATCTATTATTACAATTGAATTTCATTTAATTTCTAATGTTTATGTAATTTTTGAATTTCATTGTGTTTTCGTGTGAACCTTGATTTATATAGTAATTGGTAGAAACGAAAATGTCAAGAAAAGTTTGGAAAATTGTCCCTTTTCTCTTCTTCTCCTTCATCTTCTCTCTGAAAATCGGTTTATATTACAAAGAAATGAGTTATATTATCTAATGATAATGTATATATAATTAATAAAAAGTTTATTATAAAAAAAGTTACCCAATAAACAAGTATAAAATATAACACATTTTATGGAGGGCCTAGCCCAGCAAAAAGAACAAAAAACGAAAACTAAGGTTCGTAATGAAAAAATATAACACTCAATGGAAAGAGGAAAATCGCAAATAGTTTCAAGGTACTCACCATATAAAAGTTTGAGTAAACACCTTTATAGTCTCTGGCAATATCTATGAAATCCTTTTTAGTCCCTGGCAATAAAAAAAGATCAAATTGGTCCTTAAAATTATGAAAAAAGGGCCATGTTAGTCCTTATGTCAACTCCTCCGTCACTAACGTGGCTCTTTTTACATACTGTTAGAGACCAATTTGGTCCTTTTTTATTGTCAGGGACTAATTTTTTTTTTGTAGATATTGCCAGGGACCAAAAATAATGTTTACTCTAAAACTTTTCAGTTTAGGACTATCCATTGAAGTCTATTATTGATTAACCGTATCATCAAATGATTGAAATTTTGATAAAGACCAATTTTATGAAGAAAAAAAAAAAACCAACGCAAATAATTCAATGTCTCAAAGGTATTTTGTTTGATAACTGGCGATTAAGACAGATTACCAGATGCGTTTGTCTTATTAGATCATCCAATATATTTCTTTAACATATCATTTCATCACAAATGTGTATATTTATACCAAACTCCTTTGGCACAGGTGATAAGGAGCTTGAGTCTCTTAACCAGAGGTCTCGAGTTTGAGTCTTGAGAATGAAAAAAAAATATTTGGGAGAGCCGTCTCCGAAAGGGTCCGACAGTGCTCAATTGAGGATTAGTCTTTGGTTACAGCCAGAGGATACCCTTCAGATTACTGAAAAAAAAAATGTGTATAGTTACAGGGAAATAGTAGTCTCATGTTGTAGGAGACTACTATCTTATGCCATAGACACTTCGATAAGTGTGTTGCTATTTTCTTTTCTTTTCTTTTCTCTTTTTTAGTGGTGGGTCTCATCATTTTGTGTCTTAGCATAAAATATGTTCTCTTGTACAACATAAGAGTACACAAACCCATAGTTATATGTACCAAAAAAAAAATATGTGTCTAGTTATTAATGTTGGAAGTGTTAAAAAAGTTATCGCTATCATGGAGGTTAACTTTGTAGTTATATATTTATAGAAATGGAACATTAAGTTTATCTTTTTTCAATATTTACTCTACGGTTCTACTTACTCACCTCTAATACGGTTAAATCACTATCTTAAGAGGAGATGGAGAGAAAAAATGAAAATCAATTGAAATTATAATATAACAGTGTTAAAAGAGGCTGCTAAAATAAATATGAAAAAAGATAATCATAAATTTTATTCTATAATTATATTTTTTAAATGTTTAAATTGCAGTCATACTAAAGCTACCTCTTAGCTTTCATAACCTATTTTTTTAATGTAACATTTTTTCTGCCAACTTTGATTACATAATATGAGGGCGACTTTTCAACTAGAATGTTTTAAAAAGTTAACAGAAAAGCAAAACTGTCTATCATTTTAAAGGATACAAAGTTATATCATTTTAACTGAAAAAAAAGAAGATAAATCGTGAAAGAGAATTGATAAAAAAAGTTTTAAATGTGTGAATCCCACCTCTTTGTGAGAGTCAAAAAATATAAGGTGTGTCATTCACATATTTTTCCCTAACAAAAAAGGAGAGAAGTTGCACGATACACATGAATTAGTGTAATTTAATACAATTTTTTAAAGTGAGTAAAATAAAAAAATATATTATTATCCGAATTAAATAGCATGTGATAAACAACTATTAAACATATCTGAAATTGTATCAGTCGATGAAAATCACTCAGACACCATCGTCCTTTATTCACCTGAGAAAGGTCCTAGTAGTTAAGCTAAGATTCCTTAACGATAAGTACACAGCATCATGTCATCCATGTATTAAAAAAGTTCAATAATTTACCTTGGTGATGCACATGGCAAGGACAAACAGAGAACTACAGGCTATATAATAATGCAAAAAAGAAAATATTATATAATAATGTTTTCTGACCCTTGAGTGTGTGTGGCAACCAATAACTCAAACTTCTAGAGGGAAATGACCCCAAGGTGTCTATTAATTCATGTGCAACGACAATTGCACCAGACAATTTTCACTGTGGAATGGGTAGAATAAGTTGCTCACTGGTGGGTCTATAAATGAAAGTAGTACCTTTCCTAAGATTGTGCCGTGGATGCTGTCTCCTAAAACTTTTTTGGTAATTGATTAAAACAAAAAGAGTGGTGAAATTGGTCATGACGATCTGACATTGGACAAATGGGACTGTGAGGGTTGACGGGCAAATTGTGCATAGTGTATGTTTTGTTCATATATATTTGGTTACTTAGGGACTGGTTTTGGTTCATAGGAGTTGTATTATAGCCATGGGGACATTCAATCACTATGTTATTGTTAAGTTCAACGATGGTGTGGCAGTTGAAGAGCTCGTCCAAGGCTTGGAGAAGATGATCTCTGGGATTGAGCATGTCAAGTCCTTTGAATGGTATGAAAGTAAAAGTTTGCTTCCTTTTTTTTGTTTTTTAATGATAGTCATCGTCTTTCCCTTAATACAAAATATGTAAAGATAAGGCCGCGTATCAGGATTACTCTCATCTTATCCTTGGTCGGAGTAATTTTCTTATAATTGGAGGAGAAAATATTTCAAGACATGAAAGGCATTAGCCATTAGTAAATAAAAGCACAACCAACTAAAGATTATATAATATTTTAGCCTATTTTGGGCATTATAGAATTCCCATCAATTTTATGATTTACTATCATATGCTTGTATTTGTTGTAACAGGGGAAAGGACATTGAAAGCCACGATATGCTGAGACAAGGTTTCACTCATGCCTTCTTGATGACATTCAACGGGAAAGAGGACTTTAATGCATTTCAGAATCATCCAAATCATATTGAGTTCTCAAAAATATTTTCACCTGCTGTTGACAAGATTGTGGTCCTGGATTTCCCATCTAACCTTGTCAAAGCACCAGCATAATCCTAAAGATATTCAAGCAATTTGAAGTTTCTATCTTTAAAGTGTTCGCAAGTGTGTGCATCCTCTATTTGTAGTCTGTTATGGGTTGTTCCTACTGGTTCTCTTGCAATTTCAACTTCTAAAGCTCTTTCTTTTTCTTTTCTTTTTTAGTGTTAATACTAGTTCTTTACCAGTCTCTACTACTATGAGTACCATCATATTCATATATATAACAGCACAATTTATAGGCCTTCAATTCAAAAAAATTGTCAGACACAATGTTTGTTGCTGGACTTATAGGGCCCAACAATTTCTTCTATACGCTCATAGGACTAACCGCATAAGACTTAAAATCCTGGCCCATTGGTACCAACGTGCAGCCCTCATGTCCACTCACAGCTTAAGTGAGACTCTGTATGTGTAAGAGACGGATATGGATCATCTCAGATGAAAAAGATAATTATGTGGTCATCTTGTTTGATCACAAGCACTCATTTAAAAATTATACAATTTTCTTTCTCTTATCTTATCATTAATGAGTGAAAATGAGTGATTTTGATCAAATAACATGACCATTTTTCCACATGAGAGAATCCAAATCCATAACGTATATAGTCAAAGTGGATAAAGAATTAAAGTTATGCCCTAATTAACTGTTATAACTTTTGGCTTAGTGGTAAGTACTTGATGATTAAATTTGTGACATAAAAAATCAAAATAAGCACTTTTTTACTATGTTGCTTTAACTAGAAAATATAACGATTGTTTTACACCTGGTGTGATGAATGTGAATAATATGATCTCTTTAGGAATTGTTACTTTGTTTTGCTATAATAGAGGAGAGAGTGAGCAGTACTCACTGAGTAGTAGAGTGTGAAAATATCATTACTCATGGGAATATTATTTGGATCAAGCCTTCTGAATTCAGGTCCTACATAAATAACTGCATCTTCCCACATTATGGTTTCTTGAGTGATACATTGAATTATTCAGAGTTACATTAAACAGTTACGGTCAAGGGCTTTATTAATTGTGGGGAGAGTGACATCATTTCCCTTGTCTTAAAAAGCCTAAATACGAAAGCAACTTTAGGAGGGCATGAATTGATTACAACAGTGAAAGACATTGAATCATGCAAAACCTGATGACTGATTATAAATAATTAACAATACTCTACGAAGGATGGCCTCAAGGAGCTCTTTGGTACAAGGATTTTTTCTGGATTCTCGGAAAACTGAAATGTTTAAAATTTTAAATTTTCAGATATTATCGTAAATTGAATGTAAAAATCATATTTTTAAAAATTGAGATTTTCGAACAAATAAAAATTTCTCCTGTACCAAACACTCCCTGAATATCTACTCCATGTCGGATATCAAATCACCAAAAAATTGAATTTTGAAGCCCAAGATTCCCTAAAGCAATGTGATCTTTTTCTAGTGAAATAAAAAAGAAGGAAAAAGTAAGTTCATTTAATCAAGCAATGGGGCCAACTTGGAAAGTGAATTTGGAAGTAGTGTTTCTCGAGTTCTCAACCTTAAAGAAACCCTGCATGATTCAAACAATTGGAGCAAACATTTTTTTTTTGCACTGATTGAGTAAAGGGACAGACATGAAGCCCTTCAAGAAACTCCATGTTATTTCTTTACTAGTTTTCAATTTCATATTAGGTTCTTCTATACCACAGCATAATCATACAAAGTACTGTGGGAATATCAGAACTCAAACACCTTTCTTGAATCCAAATTCTTCTATACCTTCTCTATTAGGTAGCATCACCCTTTGCATATCTCAGAATCTCTACTTCAGAACATCCCTTGGCCTTTTTGAAATTTCTTCACTTGACTATAATGGTAGATTACTAACGATCACTCACTCATCTTGTTCTTCTCTCCAATATGTTTCTCCTCTGGCTGTCACAGCTGGTTTCCCTTCCCCTCCAGAACCTAACTCACTTGTTCTCTTCAACTGCTCAAAGAGAAGAGATCCCATTTCACCATTTATGCAAAGCTGCAGAGACTTTTATAAATGTGGAGGTGCTGCTTCATCATCTTCTAGTATTCAAGAGCACGAGAAATATCCTTATTCATGTTTAGTTGTTGAAGATCTGCAAAAAGTAGAAAAGGGTTTTCATCCTGAACAATTGAACTGCTCCCATTACAGTTGGGTACATAGAAGTTCTTCAGATGGTGGAAATAATGGATACAAGTTGGGAACAAGAATATCTATTGAAGTTTCAAAATTTGTACCAGATATTTGTAAGGGGTGTGAAACGCCTAATGGCACCTGTGGTGCTGGGTTGAAGTGTTTATGCCACGCAAAAGAGTGCAGTAAGTGATCTTGGACATGTATAAAGTTTTTTTTTTATTATTTTAGTTTCAGTTGTTTTAAGTTATGAGGAAAATATGGAATGGCTTAGTGACTCTGATTATAATTCTGCAGAAGACAAGGTTATCTCCAAGGCTGGGTCCATAAAATCTACTGGTAGTGTTTTTTTCTCTTTACTTTCTTTTATTGGTTCATTAGCCTTCTTCATGCAAGTTTAACAAAGCTTATCTAAGGACTTAATCTTTAGGTTAGAGTACTTTGTACATGTATTATTTGCTATATGGATCTAATATCTATAATAGTTGAATGTCATTTGTTCAACGTAACTAGTACAAAACAGCTATTAGTCCTGCCCAAAATGGATGGTAATAGAAGTATTGAACATGAACCATCTATCTATCTGAAGGATTTCAAAGCAAGCATAGATTGAAACTTCGTTAGGAATGGAAGCTGAAATGATCAGTGAAGTTTATGTCACTGCCCCTTTTGGAGACATGAAGCTAAATCTTTCCACAAACTAGATGTGAGGAATCCATAAATATGTAAAATCCTACTATAAAGCAGCTTTATGAGGAAACTATAATGCTCAATCAGACTGATTGAAAATGTATAAAATTATAGTTTGGATGTAGTACGAGCAAGGATTTGTGTGCAACATCAGCTAAAAATGCACCAAAGATAGTTATTCCTTAACAATATAAATGCAAAAGAAAGCTAGAAAAAACTGAGATGATTACTCTATACGATAATCTCCTTATTGACAAGTAACATCTTCTAGCAACATCTCCTATTGCTGAATCTCCTTTATAGCTACACAAAGTAGCTTATGAATTAGCTTTGCACCTTGCAAGTAAAACGGCCCCTTGCCTTTTCTCTATATTTTCCTGCTTTTGAGCCTAAGCCTTGAGAGTGCTTTGCTGAAGAGCCCTGCCATAGAAGGAAAGAGACCAAGGCTAGCCCTTATGCTTGTTCATCCAATTCAGATTCATGATATAACTGAAAGCAATATAAAAAAGTTTTTTTGTTCGGGTATTTACTCTCTACATTTATACTTTTAATTAAAGGAGAAACAATGAAACGGCAATCTGAATTTTTCAGCCTCCAAATCATATTCAAGCACAAATACAGGATGACTAAAATAGAACCCAAAAATGCATGCTTAAATCATACTTTCGAATGGTAAAGAAGTAATAAATGGTAAAATGATATGTTTGTGTTTATTTTTCAAATTAATTAAAATATATAAAATGAAATTATTAAAACTATTTTAAAATTTTCTATGCACAATATATTAATAGCAGAAATATAGAGTACTATCTAGTATCTACCAACATCTTGAACAATGTGTTCGGCATTGTTTTTTAGTAAATGTGTTTAACCATACGCATCCACTTTCAATCATCACAAAAAGTATATGATAGTCAGTGCATATCATGGCTACTTTGATCAAATTAGTGACGGGTGTCTTACCCAACCCAATGTCGCTACATAAGGTAGCTACTTTGGGCAACCAGGTCTCCTAGACTTTTCCAGCCACCAGAAAGTGCCACGTGTCCGGTTCACAGTAGCTGAGTACCTCAGCGACTACAGTGCCATAACAGTATGGTATATTTTTTCAAAGTTGTGACATTCAGGTATATTATTCTCATAAAAAGAGCAGTATGGTCAATGTCTCTTAATATTATATCTCGTTACGAGAAAAAAACTAAAATATATGCTTGATTAAAAACCAATTAGCATTCATTTTAAGTAGGGGTGTTAACGGGTCGAGCCGAGCCGAGCTTTGATCTTAAAAGGCTAAGCCTGTGATTAAATGTGTCGGCCTTACCAAGCCTGTTACCTGTTACGAATATAATTATCGGACTGTGGCCTGCCTTATTTACAAAAAAATAAAAACCTGATTTGGCCTGTTAGAAAAAAAATAAGACAATGAAAATTTATCCAAACAGAGTATATAATTAACAACATTAGTAATTTCATAAAGAATATCGAAACAACATAATATAGAACAAAATCATTCAAAAAGTCTGTTTAACTATTAAAATAGGGGTGAAATGGATTGAGAGGAGAAAGAGAACTATTACAAATAGTATAAAAAATATAAATAAAAATAAAAATTAATATACTAGGCCAGCCTGAGAGGCTCCAAGGCTGAGCTTTTGAATTAGAGCGTGAGGCCTTTTTACTAAACGAGCTTTTATACAAGTCCAAGCCTGGTTCCAACAACCAATATTAGGCATGTAAGCCTAAGCCTTCACGAGCCGAGTCAAAGACCCCTAAAAAGCCCCTGCCTCGTTTATCACCCCTAATTTTAGGAATATAAGAAGCAAAATTAGTTGTGATATATGTGCAGTTCCCATATGTATAGAACAAAAAATAAAATGTCCATTACCTGTCCAGGGATCTATTGAGTACTGTATAATAGGCAGACTTGATTGCGACGCAAATAAATTGTTTCCATTTTTGTTATTAGTTTTCAAGGAAATTGCATATTTCAGTATAAATGTAGATCATTAATTAATTAATTACAAGTTATTCTTGAACCATGCTGCTACTTATGTCCCACAAAGAATCAAATAATGTTATCAAGCTTGACCCACTACACAATGGACAATGGAATGGGCTTTTGGCCGAGAGCATATGACATAGTCTTGGACTCTTGAAACCCAAACGTAACTCAGCTCCCCAGTCCCCACCGCCTTATTCATCCTTGGGCTTGGTTAAATACCCATCATAGTTTTTCAAGTTATTTAATGGAATTAAAACAAAAACTTACTTTATAATAAAATTATAGGATTAGTATTTATCATGTTATTTATCTCTCTTTTATATATATATATATATATATATATATATATAAAAGAGTATGGAGTTCATGTGTAGTCATGTGAGGAGAAAAGAAAGAAAAAGAAAATATGAACCTCACACATTTTTATACGCGCATAGATGACATGTGAATCATTAATCTCAAGAATATATTAAAAAATATCAAGTAATATATTGTTAGCATTTCTGAATATTCAACATCATCCGGAGAAACGTTTAAAAAAAAGGTGGGATATGTACGAACTATTCATAAAGGCTTCGATAAAAGATAACATAGAGTTGGATCACCTAATTTTGATGGTGTGCATGCGTAGTTAAAAAGGAGAAAAAAGAAATTACTGTGGATTATTTAAAAGTTTGTTTGGATGATTTTTTTTTAAAAAAATATTAGTATGCATAATTTTTTTTAAAGATAATTTTAAAAATTTTAAAACTATTTTATGTTTGAATAGAATGTATAAAAAGTATTTTTAATTTTAAGTAAAAAATATTTAAATATTAAAATTAATAATTACTTTTTATGTATAAAATTCCTAAAAAGAACATGTAATAAGAGTGGTGGGATGAAAGTGAAGTTTACTAAAATTAAATTTAAAGAAAAATATCAAAGTTTTGATTTTTCTTTTTTCAGAATTCAGGCATTTTGATTTAAAAAAAAGGATTATTTCAATTTTTTGGAATTTTTCTTCTTGTTTTTTTATAAAATTTTCACACACACGCACATATATATATAGGGTTCATTTTTTTTGCAGTTAATGCAGATACGTTATCTGCATTGAGCCCAAAATGACATTGTTGTGAGACAGAAATCAAGGTATTTTTATAATTTTAATTTATTTCAGGGTTATAATAGTCTTTATAATTATAATTTTTAAATATTTCAACACCAAAACAACGTCGATTTGGGAGTAAATGCAGATAACTTATCTGCAGTAACTGCAGAAACATTTTTCTGATATATATGGGTTTTATAAGAGTTATGTTGTAGGAAAAATGATTGTGTTAAGTTATAGAGATTCATTTTGCGTGCCGAAGTTTTTTTTTTTTTGCTGCGGGCCTCACAAAATGTTGTGTGTGTAGGAAACTTTTTGTGATTATGTTAAATGATAGATGATAAACCCTATATATATATATATATATATATATATATATATATATATATATATATATATATATATATATGAGTTTTCGTTTTATCCTTTAACATAATATAACAAACTTTCCTACACTCACAAAATTTTGTGGGGCCTACTCTTTTTAAAACAAAAAAATAAATAAAAAATTAAGGCACGCAAAACGAATCTCTATAACATTACAGAATCACTTTTCCTACAACATAACTCTTATAAAACCTTATATATATATATATATATATATATATATATATTTATATATGTATACATGATTATCATTTCTCTAGCCGCTTGACGTCCAGCAAATAAATTCGAGAAATCATAACTATACAAAGGTTGGTGAAAGCATTAAATGCGGGCAATCAAAATCAATCAACTATGTAAGATTTATTTCTCAACATCCAGCAGCCGGAGAAATAATTTTACCTATATATATATACATATATATTAAATAAATAATACTTTTTTTTGAAAAATTATTTCTTGGTAAAACAATAAAACCGTTCAAATGGGCTCTAAAAATTGCAAGATCTATTCTTTATTTTTTCCCCTTATAATTGAACTTGTCGTAATGCAAGGAATCCAATTCTGATAATGTGTTTAGTTTAAATTAATTTAATTTTTAAAATTGGGATCAAAATTTAATTTAATCCTATTAAATATTTATTTTTTATTTTTAAAATTTGCAATTCTATTGTTCGTGATTTATATTTGATTTGATTGATGAAATCAGCAAATTCTGGATACAGCCTGTACCGTTGAGAGTTGCAAGCCCAATATTTACCTTTGGAGGGGTAAAGGTCACTATTGGGGGGGGGGGGGGGTCGTTGCAAGCAAAGGTAGAGACCTAGCTAGATGTCGCAACCGGATCACAACATGATGGCGAAAGAAATTGAATGTTAAAAATAATGGAGTCGCTACCATGGTTTATTTGAGAAAACATTGGAAAACCCCTTTTGTTTGAGAAAACTGATCTGTGAAATAGAAAATGGATTCAGGAGTCGATTACGAGCAGGGAAAGTGTTAGCACCCTACACCGTCCGTTTAAAAAAATGGCTACCTTATATTACTTGTGCAAATTATTGATAAGTTTTTAAATATTTATTTCACCCTAAAGAATTAAACAAAATTAATTAAAGAAAAGAAAACTAATTTTTTAAAATTTGATATTTGTGCTTGATGGGAAGGGTCTCGCTCCGACGTATCCCTCGGTGCAATAGGGAACTCAAAGCTACGTCGTTCTGTAAAATATTTGTGTGTTGATTGAATTTAATT